AGTGGATAGATCAAGGCAACTGGAGATGTCAATTGACATTACACTTGAATAGCTGGAGATTATAGCTCTCAGGGAAACTGGAATAGGGAAGGGATTTCCACATGCGAGAGGTGCGAGACATGAAGCTATTAGAGTAGAAGAGACGGCTACATTTAGGAGTTTCGACAGTGAAGAGGTGAGAGCGCGATGCCAGCCTCGTAGGGCGCTTGAACTCATGAAGTCTGGGAACCAGCGAATGCAGCTCCTCGGAGCAATTACCATGAAAACATAGATTTTAAAAAAATTTCGGAACTTTTACATTTGAAAATTTCACTATCCAAACAGGCAAAACTTTACATCTTACCTTTTAGAGTTCGCAGGTCAAATAATCTGCCCAGGGTTTGTTTTGATCTCCGAGAGGCAAGCCGAAATATGTCTTTTAGGCCTGGCACATTTTATCAGATGTTGTCACAGAATACCTTTTCGCGCTTATATTGATAAGTTCGTCACAAACATAACAAAATGTGTCTGCTCAATGCTTAGAATTTCTTGATGCCATATGCGACTGATGCATCTATCAACGAGGACTTGTCTACATTTGGACAGCCAGAAGTAGACTGAACTGTTAAATTTCTTGTATTTATGGTGACATCTATGTTGCCAAAACGTTCTTGAAATTCTTCAAACTTTTAGAAACTTAATGAAAGTTCTTGAAAGTTCGAGAAAAATCTCCTGCAGCAACTCGCCACTGAATCTGTCGGAACTGTGATGGAAAACGGATTACTTTCGAAATATTGATGACCAGGGCACAAAAGCAAAGTTTGAAGCGAGTAATAGTCATTTCCTTGGCTTTCTAGACAAAAGTAAGTAAGAAATACTTACTGATCGAAAACAGAAAGTCAAAATTCTGTGCATAGAAGTAGCAATATAATAGCGAGAGGCTTGATGGGATCCAAAATAGATTTATTTAACCTCTGTTCACATCGTCAAGTTTGAAACATATGAACCATTCGCCCTTGCTGTCATATATGATCTGAAACCCCTTCTGTTTGTCTCAAGGTTCTTGATAAGATCCAGAGACAGATATGTAATGTAATTGGCCCTGATCTGGCATCTCGCCTGCAGTCGCTCTCTCAGAGACGTGCCATCGCCTCCCTCTGTCTTTTTTACAAATACTTTCACAGTAACTGCTCCGATGAGCTGCTTTCGCTGGTTCCCAGACTTCATGAATTTAAGCGTTCAACTAGGCTGGCATCTCGCTCTCACCCTTTCACTGTCGAAACTTTTAAATGTAGCAGTCTCTTCTACTCCAATAGCTTCATGTCTCGCACCTCTCGCCTGTGGAACTCCCTCCCCTTTTCTTGTTTCCCTGATAGCTATAATCTCCAACTATTCAAATGTAATGTCAATCGACGTCTCCAGATGCCTTGATCTATTCCCTATCCTTTCCTCTATCACTCTTATTTGCTCTCGCTCCAACTCTCTCTAACCCCTTGCATGCTAGTGGCTTCCAGCCTTGCTTGGGGTGAAACGCTTAAAAAAATAAAAGACGACCGAAGAATATTTGTGAAGCACGTAGAAGCGGTAATGTAATGGTTCGAGGGTGTTTTCCATTACATGGTACAGTGGTATGGACTTCACCTAATCAAAGAAAAAGATGAATGGAGGCATGTATTGAGGTTTATTGAACAAGAAACAATTTTTACATCAGTCAAGGCTTTAAAAAACACACACAATTGGGTCTTTTGGCAGAACACACACTTAAACATGTTGCCAACGCGACCAAATATGGGTTTGGAAAAAAAAAAAGAAATTCAACCTATTGAAGTGACCCATTAAGCCCCATGGAATCAAGGCAACTGGAAGATTCTAACAAGTGTGGAAGATCTGTGTTCATGCGCGACAACGTAATAATTTTCAAGAACCTAGGGAGAGCTTCCAGGAAGAGTATGCCAAAAGGGGGGCGGTCTTTTATTTCATGCGTCAAATCAGAATTTGATCTGTTCATAAAGATGTTCGGAAGATAAATGAGTTTGTTCAAATTTAGCGCATGCCACTTAACATTACGTTAGGTTATCTTCCATTAATAGTTCGCTGAAGAAGTGCTCACAGATAACTGGCATACCAAATATATATATATATATATATATATATATATATATATATATATATATATATATATATATATATATATATATATATATATGTGTGTGTGTGTGTGTGTGTGTAGAGAGAGAGACAGACAGACAGACAGACAGAGAGAGGGGGGAAATAGATTAAATCCGACATATTTGTTATTTTTAATTTATTTTGTTTAATCTTTAGTTTTGATGGATACATACATTCGATATGAAGCTTACATCATCCAGGTACATCTACCAACCTGAATATTCGAGAAATTCTATCAGAAAAAAATATGCATCCTCCGGGGGATATTTTTCTGACATGATTTCTCGAATATTCAGGCCGGTAGGCGTGGTTGGAAGAGGAAATACTGTTTAATTAAAAAAAATAACTTCTACTCGAATATGAGTAACCATAAAAATAACGCTTAACCAAAATAAATTCCAAATAATAAACCCATATATATATATATATATATATATATATATATATATATATATATATATATATATATATATATATATATAGCCAGCAACCTTTTTTCTTAAAATCTTTCGTTAAATTTGACGAACGAGAAAAATATTTATTTAGTTTTTCCAGTGTTCTTACATTTTTTCTGATTGGTGGGAATGAGCGAGCTCAAATAAAATGGCTAACGAAGTGGTCGAAAACCCCAGGGACAATAAATGGTAAGGACAATTTTTTCACTCGGTCATTTGCACCAAAATGTAAGAACGCTGGAAAAACTAAATAACAGTTTTAAAAAAATTTCCTTGTCTATCATATTTAACGAAATATATATATATATATATATATATATATATATTTTATATG